TCTCTTCTCTTCTCTTCTCTTCTCTTCTCTTCTCTTCTCTCTCTCTCTCCTCTCTCTCCTTTATCTCTTTCCTTTCTCTTCTCTCTCTCCTCTCTCTTTCCTTTCTTTTCTCTCTCTCTCTTCTCTCTCTCCTTTATCTCTCTATCCTTTCTCTTCTCTGTCTCTCTCCTTAAAACAGTGGATCCAACCTTCTTTTCTTTGTTTTAGGGGTTTTTTTTTAAGGTTTATTTATCTGTCTTAACAGTTGACGTTTATAACCTTGTTTCTGATAAGACAATTCAAACATACAAATCAATTACAACAATGTGCTTATCATCTCCCCCCTCCCACCCCTAATTTTAAACCAACTGACAGTTTTGAAGGACACCAAGACAATAAGGCTTAGCTAAACAATATGGCAATTAAAATGGCCTTCTAAAAAAAAGAATTACAATAATTGTTGAGGTTACAACCTTTTAAGTGTCACATTATAGAACCACCCTCACCTCCTCCCTTAGATAAGGCCATTGTGGTGGGAAAGCTGGAGGGTCTTAGACAGAGGGGAAGACCCCACAACAAGATGGATAGACAGTGACTGTACCAATTGGCTCGAGTAGATTGGAGACAGGAGAGGCAAGGTTCATATCTGCTGTTTATAGAATTGCTACAAGTTGTAGTCAACTCAATGACCTTATCTGACAGTAGCTGTACCAACAATCACAGTGGTTGGTCAACTTTTGTCTGACAGTAACAACAACAATATGTGGGGTGCTCCAGAGAATTCGTATATAAGAGAGAAAGTTCTTAAATCTAAGATCCGCTAACGTCACCAGCCTAATCCTTCCCCATGATTTCTTCATGGTGTATGTTCTGGCCAGACTGCATCCTAATCATTTCAGCACCTGCCATAGTCTCTCATGCTCAACACTAACTGATACAAATCCTAAAAAAAAAATCAATGAGTTGTGCTGTCACGGTTTCCATGGAAAGCTTGCCAAGATTTACTAACAGCAACAAAACGGAAGCAGCGGAAAACTAACTACAGATTGATCACATGACATAATATAAGCTACTATACGTGGGCCAACTGGCAGCATCGTATGGACGGTGAAGAGATTTAGTTAACAGTTTTAGTTTGCTTGGCTCCACAATCAACACTCTTGGTAACAGCAGCCAGGAAATCAGGAGACGAATTGCATTGGGAAAGTCAGCTGTGCGGGACCGCTCAAGAGTACTGAAGAGCAACGATGTCAGGCTGGAGACTAAGGTGTGCCTGATCTGGGCTATAGTCTTTGTAATTGTGTGTTATGCATCAGAGAGTTGGACAATGACTAAGGAGGACAGGAGAATTGATGCCTTTTAGCTGTGGTGCTGGAGAAGAGTATTGAATATACTATGGACTGCTAGGAGAACAAACAGGTTTGTCCTGGAGAGTGTGAAGCCAGAATGTTCCCTGGAGTCAAGGATTCTGAAGCTTCACCTGACATACTTTGGGCATGTTGCAAGGAGGGACTGGTCCTTGGGGGGGACATCATGTTTGGGAGAGTGGAGGGACAGTGCAGGAGAGGAAGACCCTCAATGAGATGGATCGATTCTGTGACTGGAGTGGTGGGAATGAGTGTGTTTGAGATGGCTAGGTTGGCACAGGATAGAACGGCATTTAGAGCTCATGTACATAGGGAGAAGGACATCATGTTTGGGAGAGTGGAGGGACAGTGCAGGAGAGGAAGACCCTCAATGAGATGGATCGATTCTGTGACTGGAGTGGTGGGAATGAGTGTGTTTGAGATGGTGAGGTTGGCACAGGATAGAACGGCATTTAGAGCTCATGTACATAGGGTCGCTATGAGCCACAAGCGACTCAATGGCACATAACAACAACTATATGTGCTCCTCTGGCAAAAGACGAGTTCAACCATTTTTGTCACTAGAAATAGATTTTAAAATCTGGAAAATATCTTTTCATCTCCTTAAAGGAACTAAATGACTGAGAGGAAGAAATTATATAATAAAAAATCATTCACGACCCATCAATTTGAACTCACATGCACATACAAGACACTCCACCATCCCCTAAGACAGGAATAGGCACTTTTCCCAGTGCTCACAGATCATTCTCCAAGTAGACCATGAACTAGATCACAAAACAAGCATAAATAAAATACGTTGTTGTTTTTTTTATTATTGTGTGAGTGTACCGTCAAATCGGATCTGACTGGTACAGGAGGAGATTGTCCCTCCTTCCCCGGCAGAGCATCTGGTGGATTCAAACCGTGCGCCTCTTGGATTGTAGTTGCAGCTCCTTGCCACTAGGCCACCAGAGCTCCCCCATAAAATACTTTTAAATAACACAAACCTTCTTCTCAGATCAAAACACCATAAAAAATAGAAATCAATAGCAGAATGACCAGAGGACAAAAATCAACTGCATAGAAACTGGGTATGAAAACTACTAGGTAATAGAAGAATTAAAAATGAAGGAGGGGAAAAAATAGAAGGACAGACAAGAAGGTGAGGAAAGGGAGCTTTCAAAGGCACTCTGCCCAAGAGGGACACGCCAAGCACAGCAAAGCAGACCTGCAGCTTCCTATTCCCTGATCTGTCAGATGTAAGACATAAAACAGGCAGGAAACACCAGGGCCCAACCAAAGTCAAGCATCCAAAGGGAAGGCTCATTAATTCCCATGAAGTCTGACACTTCAAAAGGCTACACCTTCCGTATGAAAAAAAGATGCAGAAATTTGCACTCAATTGATAGACAGAGTTGAAAGGAAAAAAATACAGACAAGTCGACGTTTCTAGTTGGAGATGTCAACACTCTTTTCAGTAACTGCTAGAAAATGCAGATCAAAGAACAACAACAACAAAAAAACCCAAAGACTAAATTGATAGATTCGATCAACCAACTTAGCGGAGCTCTGCTGACCTGGTTCTTAGGAAGTTGAACGCTAATAAAAGTTGCTTTTCTGGTGGTGGAAAAACACTACGGGAGAAAGATGGCCAGTCGCCTCTGGTGATATTTACAGCCTCAGAAATCCAATGGAGGGTCAGTTATGAGTTGGGTCGGTTCTAATCAATGGCAGGGAGAGATAATGGGGTCCAGCCTCGTTACATCAAACAGTTCCACCGAGAGAAGGGACTTGGATTAAAAATGAAGACACAGAGAGGCTACCAGCTGATGGCGGATAGCAAAGTTTATTCTCGAGCTCCTGTCTTAGGTTCTCTTTTGCAGTGACTAGAAAAACAACTCAGCCTCAATATTGACAGTGCATTTCATTCTGATTTACAAACCACTTACTAGCTGAGGCAAGTAAGGTTGCTTATTTTTCTTATCAGGCAAGACCATTAGCATTTGAGTATAAACAGTCTTTAAGGAGGTACATTCCATTATCCACATCCCTGCTTAGTTCTAGGGTTCAAGGAATGGTTAAACTTGTCTCTATTTCCCTTCAAACATTCAATGATGAACAGTTCTGCACTTTTGAACCTGGCACAAAAAGGCTACTTGCATAAAAAGGATGCAAAATGGCTTACTTTTTAACATCCTACTTCCTTGAGTTGTTTTCTGTCAAGCACATACTATAGCCAAGATAGAATTAAGTCTTGCTGGTCTTTTGGTGCAGGGCTAATCTTGCTTTAGAAGTTAGCCAGGCCCCAACAGAGAGATATGCCCACTTGACCCAAAAGTATTTATAGGATACTCTATCCAACTGGGTCAACTGGTAGCATCATTATGGATGGTGAAGAGATGTGAGATTGTTAACAGCTTTAGCTTGCTTGATTCCACAGTCAACACTCTTGGTACCAGCAGCCAGGATATCAAGAGATGAGTTGCATTGGCAAAGTCAGCTGTGAGGGACCTCTCAAGAGTACTGAAGAGCAATGACATCAGGTTGGAGACTAAGGTGTGCCTGATCCAGGCCATAGTCTTCCCAATTACGTGCTATGCATCAGAGAGCTGGACAATGATTAGGAATGATAAAAAGAGAATTGATGCCTTTGAGCTGTGCTATTGAATATGTTGAATATACCATGGACTGCTAGGAGAACAAACAGGTTTGTCCTGGAGACGGTGAAACCGGGCTGCTTCTTGGAGGAAAGGATTCTGAAGCTTTGTCTGACATACTTTGGGCATGTTGCAAGGAGGGACAAGTCACTGGAGAGAGACATTATGCTTGGGAGGGTTGAGGGACAGTGCAAAAAAATGAAGACCCTCAATGAGATGATTGAGATCAGTGATTGGGGTAATAGGAGTAGGTGTGTCATAGGCAGTGAGGTTAGCACAGGATAGAGCAGGGCTTAGGGCTTTTGAACACAGGGTCACTATGAGTCTCAAGCAACTCAACAGCACATAACAACAACTATCCAACAATTTGGAAGCAGGAGTGGCATCTGCTTCCTAAACAACGTGCCTCTGGAAACTCTATGAACTTTGATAAATATTGATAGTTATAGAAAGGCTTCAGGCCTTTTGTTTATAGTATCCCTCTGAGTTGTGCTTGACTCAAAGACAATCAACAACAACAACATCAAACAATAGCAGAATACA